GTAGTTGTCTGTGTGTTTTTGTGAATGGATTGTCTCTGCATGTTTGTGTGTGTGTGGCCCATGCGTCTTTGTCTCTGTGTGTCTGTACGTTGTGCATATGTACGTGCGTGTTTGTGTGTATTTGTCTGTGTGTGTGTGTGTGTGTGTTTGTTTACGGGATGGCATAGAGTACGGTCCCACAGAAGCCGGAGGTGATGTCATGATGCGACCTTAAGTGGCCCTGACTCTGTGATGTCAAAGACATATTGATCTGTCACTAACTATCCGTCAGATGTTTTAAGTGGTTTAAAGTCACACACAAACCAACGCACACGCACACACTCTCTCTTTCTCTCTCTCTCTCTCTCTCTCTCTCTCTCTCTCTCTCTCTCTCTCTCTCTCTCTCTCTCTCTCTCTCTCTCTCTCTCTCTCACTCTCACTCTCACTCTCACTCTCACTCTCACTCTCACACACACACACACACACACACACACACACACCTGCACACACACACACAGTGCCACCCACACAACTTATTGCAGAGGCGTTGTCAGTGTCAGAAGAGATTTAATAGGTGGAGAACAGAACAGAAGTCCACCATGCCCCTCTCATCTCAACCCCTAATGGCTGCTGCTGTACTGTATCATGATCTGCAGTGCCCCTGGTGGCCAGTATATTTCACTACAACATGCAGCAGATGGAGCAATCAGGTGTACTCCCAGTCTGTGAATTTCTCATTCAGAAACTCTCTCTCTCTTCGTCTGTCTTTCTCTCTCATTCTCTTACTGTTGGTGTGTGAGCTGTGGTGGTGTAAATAAAGGCCCAGTCGTTGTGTGGGTGCGGTGGCAGATGCTCTAATAACATTGAAAGCTAGCTGTCTGGACTGCCCTTCCTCCTACTGCTTGAGGAACTTCACCTTTAAGCGGAGCTTTACTGACAGGAGTGTCTCTCACACACACAGAGACACACACACAGCCCGGTGCTGCCGTCGGCAGGGTAGTCATGGTGATATCGAGTGATTCCTCTCCCGAGCCGTGAGTGGGGAAAAGGTGAGACCGTGGTCAATGAGAAGAAATTAAACAGGAACAGTGAGGAACACAGAGGATATAGTTATCTCTATAATAAACTGACTTGAGATGACATAAGCTTCCTGGTTTGAGGAGGACACGCCCAGTGGAGGTGTGGGGGGGGGGGGGGGGGGTCGAAATGATTCAGGAGAGGGTCATGACAATGCATGTAGAGAGAATGAGACATGGAAATAGAGAGAGGAAAAAGAGAGGGAAGGTGAGGGAAAGTGAGCATGGAGACAAAGTGAGAAAACAAAAGAAAGAAACAGAAAAGCGTTACTGTGTCAGTAAACAAAATACCACACGGCCTCCATCTTGTGATCATGTTTGTTTACAGGGCATTGTTGTTGCTTCATTTCCCATTTTAGGACTCGGTTATCGTCGGCAGTGCCAGTGTCTCTCACCGTCCTATACATGATTTCAGGCTTTATTTGTGCTGGGTAATATACTGTATGTTGTTGTTGGCTCTCTCTCTCCTTTAAGTCAAAATGGGCAGGCACACACACACACCCTGCATCTAAAACAGAGCACAGGAGAGAGAGAGGCCTTGGAGTGGCATTTAATGAAGCTGACCTGAAGCGTTCGAGACGTGGTCAGGAAGCTGACTTAAACCATACGCTGTGGTGGAGTTGTGGGGCCACGATTCTCACTTATTATCAGAGGGGGAAAAACAAGCCATCAAATGGAAAAACAAACTCCAGAGATGGTGGGATGGTAGAAAGATGACAGAAAGGGGAGGAGGAACAGGAGAGGAAGAGGAAGGTAGGGAGGACACAGGACAGTGATTTGAATGAAGATGACATTGGTGGGAGTTCTTGTCAGATCAAAGAAGAACTGAAAGACTGACCACTCCCTCTAAGCCGGGATGGGACCAAAACTGTTAAAACACAAGACAACCTGTCCTATGCCTGACCAAGCAGAGTCCCACTACAGACAGACAGGCCAACACAAGCAAGTCTGTCTGCTCGCCTAGCCCCAAATGTCACTGCAGTTTCAGCCTCACAGCACACAGACACTCAGAGGATTCCCAGTGGCCTGCCGCGATTCCCACTGCTAGGTTCGAATGCTTCGTGTCACCGCTAAAGCCATCACAGCCCCAGCATCTACACACACACACACACACACACACACACACACACACACACACACAGTTCAGACCAGTACTTCAGGGGCACAGGCTGTGGCAGGGAGATAATTTCAGCTGTAACACCGATGTTAGTCCCAGAGCTGTGGATCTTAGCTGCTAATTGAAGGAAGTCGATTGTTCCCTTGAGAGGAACTAAAGAGTCGACGAAAGACCTCCTGGAGAAAACAGATGGCCCTATGGGTTACATATCTGCCAACAAATGGCCCTCTGCAATGGGGTGTGGTTAATGAAGAGACAACGCTACACAGGCAAACACACCCACAGTTCATAAACACACACATACACATCTCTCTCACTCTGTGTCTCTGTCTATCTCTCTCACTCTGTGTCTCTGTCTACCTCTCTCACTCTGTCTCTGTCTCTCTCTCTCACTCTGTGTCTCTGTCTATCTCTCTCACTCTGTGTCTCTGTCTATCTCTCTCACTCTGTGTCTCTGTCTACCTCTCTCACTCTGTTTCTCTGTCTACCTCTCTCACTCTGTTTCTCTGTCTACCTCTCTCACTCTGTGTCTCTGTCTATCTCTCTCACTCTGTGTCTCTGTCTATCTCTCTCACTCTGTGTCTCTGTCTATCTCTCTCACTCTGTGTCTCTGTCTATCTCTCTCACTCTGTGTCTCTATCTCTCTCACTCTGTGTCTCTGTCTACCTCTCTCACTCTGTGTCTCTGTCTATCTCTCTCACTCTGTGTCTCTATCTCTCTCACTCTGTGTCTCTGTCTACCTCTCTCACTCTGTGTCTCTGTCTATCTCTCTCACTCTGTGTCTCTGTCTATCTCTCTCACTCTGTGTCTCTGTCTATCTCTCTCACTCTGTGTCTCTGTCTACCTCTCTCACTCTGTGTCTCTGTCTACCTCTCTCACTCTGTGTCTCTGTCTCCCCTGTAGAAAGTAGTGTTCACGACGGAAGCAATGACAACGATGGCAGCGTCTGTGGCAGTGACTCCACCTTCTACAGGCAGAGTGAAGGTACACAACCTCATGTAGAACCCAACCAATGAATAATGGTCATACTAGCTATATCTGTTTCATCAGACTAACTTATTGCGTATAGCCACAGCATGACACAGCATTATAGCAGTACACACATACACACTGCTGCGTGGTCCTCTTGTTCCAGAGGTCTGTGATCCTTCCAGTCGGCCTCTTGTGTTTGGGAATCACAGTAATCACAGCAGCACTCCACCACAGCCCTGACCTGAGTCATCACAGCAGCACTCCACCACAGCCCTGACCTGAGTTATCACAGCAGCACTCCACCACAGCCCTGACCTGAGTCATCACAGCAGCACTCCACCACAGCCCTGACCTGAGTTATCACAGCAGCACTCCACCACAGCCCTGACCTGAGTCATCACAGCAGCACTCCCACCACAGCCCTGACCTGAGTCATCACAGCAGCACTCCACCACAGCCCTGACCTGAGTCATCACAGCAGCACTCCACCACAGCCCTGACCTGAGTCATCACAGCAGCACTCCACCACAGCCCTGACCTGAGTCATCACAGCAGCACTCCACCACAGCCCTGACCTGAGTCATCACAGCAGCACTCCACCACAGCCCTGACATGAGTCATCACAGCAGCACTCCACCACAGCCCTGACCTGAGTCATCACAGCAGCACTCCACCACAGCCCTGACATGAGTCATCACAGCAGCACTCCACCACAGCCCTGACATGAGTTATCACAGCAGCACTCCACCACAGCCCTGACCTGAGTTATCACAGCAGCACTCCACCACAGCCCTGACCTGAGTCATCACAGCAGCACTCCACCACAGCCCTGACCTGAGTCATCACAGCAGCACTCCACCACAGCCCTGACATGAGTCATCACAGCAGCACTCCACCACAGCCCTGACATGAGTCATCACAGCAGCACTCCACCACAGCCCTGACATGAGTCATCACAGCAGCACTCCACCACAGCCCTGACCTGAGTCATCACAGCAGCACTCCACCACAGCCCTGACATGAGTCATCACAGCAGCACTCCACCACAGCCCTGACATGAGTCATCACAGCAGCACTCCACCACAGCCCTGACCTGAGTCATCACAGCAAATAGACAAGACCACTGTGTATTTATCTGCCCATCTAAAACAGACCCCCCAAACACACACGCTCTCACATATATACACACGCATGTACGCACACCACACACACACACACAGTCAGACAGCACTAATTGCATTTGCTCTGCAATGGTAATGTTTTGTCTAGTATACTGTATCTCTAATTAAATCTGCCATTTATGTAATGACAGCTCCTGAGAGGGCTGTAAGTAAACGTGTGTGTGTGTGTATATGTGTGTGTGTTTGCAGGACACAGCATGGCAGAGACCCTCACTGTTGCCCTGCGCGTTGCTGAGGAGGCCATAGAGGAAGCCATCGCCAAGGCAGAGGAGTTTAGTGACAGCTTGGTGAGACAACACTCCTTCCTTCTCTCTCTATCTCGATCTCTCTCTCTTTCTCCTCTCCATCCCATCCCTCTCTCTCTCTCTCTCTCTCTCTCTCCTCTCTCTCCCTCCCTGTCTCTCTCTCTCCCTGTCTCGCTCTCTCCCTCCGTCTCTCTCTCTCTCCCTGTCTCTCTCCTCTCCCTCTCTCTCTCTCTCTCCTCTCTCTCTCTCTCTCTCTCTCTCTCTCTCTCTCTCTCTCTCTCTCTCTCTCTCTCTCTCCCCCCAGTCTGTCTGTCTCTTTTGGTTTGGAGCTATTGGGATGAGGGTTTGGTTTAGGGATGAGGTTTTGGTGCTTGTAGAAAAGCTTGTTTTACGGTAGTTCTGAGCAGGCTTTGATGTATCTGTGTTGCAGGAGAAGCAGAATGAGGCTCGCTACCTACGGGACCACAAAGAAGAGCTTATAGAGGAACTCGCCACAACCATCGTACAAAAAGTACGTTTTATGTTTGGAGTTTGGTGTGACGTTTTTGGTGACATCACATTAACATTGCCCTCTCTCGCTCTTTCTCTTTCTCTCCCCCCTCTCCTTCTCTCTCCCAGATCATCCAGAGGAGGAAGCATTCCGAGATGCAGACGGAGTATGACTTTGTGTGGCCACAGAGCCAGGGCCAGCCCCAGGGCAGTGAGCTGTCCTCCCCCAGCCTGCCCCCTCACAGCACCCTGGCCCAGGCCAACCGGACCCACCTCAAGAGCTCCTACTCCCTCTGGGTCAGTCTGGGTGGAAGCCCTCACTACACTAGGCTATGTTGCGTTATGCTACGCTACATTCCGTAACGCTACACTACACTACGCTACCGTGCACCACACTACGCTATATTACACACTTTTCTATGTTACATTACACGTCACAACGTTACGTTACACTACACTACGCTACCCAGCACTACATTACACAACACAGCACTACATTACACTACACTGCACTACACTACAATACAGTACACTAAGCTATGTTACACTGTACCGCAATGCACTGCACTACACTACACTATTCTACAGTACACTATACTACGCTGCACTACATAAGCTACACTACCCTACACTACACTACCCTGCACTACACTACCCTACACTACACTACCCTACACTACACTACCCTGCACTACACTACCCTACACTACACTACCCTACACTACCCTACACTACCTACCCTACACTACCCTACACTACACTACCCTACACTACACTACCCTACACTACACTACCCTACACTACCCTACACTACACTACCTACACTACACTACCCTACACTACCCTACACTACACTACCCTACACTAAACTACACTACGGAACGCTACCCTGCACTACACTACCCTACACTACACTACACTACGGAACGCTACCCTACCCTACACTACACTACCCTACACTAAACTACACTACGGAACGCTACCCTGCACTACACTACACTATGGAATGCTACCCTGCACTACACTACCCTACACTACCCTACACTGCACTATGTTACACTACCCTACACTACACTGCGCTACATTACACTACACTACCAAACGCTACCCTGAACTACACTACCCTACACTACACTACACTACACTATGGAACGCTACCCTACCCTACACTACACTACACTACACTACACTATGCTATACTACTCCACAATAAGCTCCACTATAATATACTATACTATACTACACTAAAGTAAGCTCCACTATACTACACTACAATACACTACACTTTTTCCTGACCATTTGACCTGACCCAGGAAATACTGGGCCCTAAATATAGTCTCTAGCTAGAGCCTGGTCAGGAAAAACTGCTGTCCCTAGTGATGAGATATGAGGACAGACAGGGTTGAGGTCTGGCTGCCAAAATAAGGGAACCGCCAATATAAAGTGGTGTTGGGCCACCACGAGCCAGAACAGCTTCAATGCACCTTGGCATAGATTCTACAAGTGTCTGGAACTCTATTGGAGGGATGTGATACCATTCTTCCATGAGAAATTCCATCATTTGGTGCTTTATTGATTGTGTTGGAAAACGCTGTCTCAGGCGCCGCTCCAGAATCTCCCATAAGTTCAATTGTGTTGCGATCTGGTTGAGATCTGGTGACTGAGACAGCCATGGCATGCAAATGGTTTACGTCATTTTCATGCTCATCAAACCATTCAGTGACCACTCGTGCCCTATGGATGGGGGCATTGTCATCCTATGGGGGCATAATTTTTAGACATGACCCTAAGAATGATGGGATGTTAATTGCTTAATTAACTCAGGAACCACACCTGTGTGGAAGCACATGCTTTTAATATACTTTGCATCCCTCATTTACTCAAGTGTTTCCATTATTTTGGCAGATTTTGGCATGATTGCTGTTTGTACCTGTGAGCTGTACAGTAACTTACCAGGGAAACCTCTACACACACTCCCTGGGCCACAGAGGGATGGGCTCCCTTTATCAACGCTCTGCACACACACACACACACAAAAGTGTGCGCAGACACACACACAGGTGCGCACACATATACACATGCGGTCACGCGCACACACACACACATACGCTATGAATGAGCTCAAAGTGAGTGTGTGTCTGTAAACAGAGATTTTTGATTCATATTAGTTCCTCCTCTGCTGTTCTTGTCCGTATTTGTAGTTCTCTGATGCCCCCTGCTGACTCTTTATATGAATCACATCCATGTGACTGGTGTTCGTCCCAAATGGAACCCCAAAGGGCTCTGGTCAAAAGTAGTGCACTATGTAAAATAGGGTACCATTTGGGAGGCATCCTGAAAGTCAGTCTTACAATGTACCAGGATACCGGAAGAACACAAACTTGAGTTGCCATTTCGTTTCAATACCTTCTGACATTTTAACCAAACAACCAGTTCACGTTCAGTTGGATCGGTGAATAACAGCACGTAGTCACTGTTATCCACATAGCCACCCAAACAAGCTAATCTTTTCTACCTAATCCTCAAGTTTTGTTTGGCTGGAACTGAAGCATGGGAAAATTGCTGCCCTGAACAAAATTCTGCCACTGTGACAGTTAGCATTTGAAGCTGGCCTTGGCTGGTAGACCCAACATTCTGCATTCTGTATAATTCTGTGTTACCTTTTCAGCACTTGTAGTTTTTAAAGTGTGTAGCCTATCATTAACATGTTTTTGTATTTGTTGTTGGTGCGTGTGTGTACAGAGGTCGCAGTCGGCATTCTCCCTGACCAGTGATGACTCTCCAGCGAAGGTCACTGAGGCACTAGTGGGGGCGGGGGCAGGGGAAGGGGGCGGGGTACAGGACTACACCTCTCTGAAGAAGGACACTGCCAGGGCCGCCTCACTGCCCAGCTGGAAGAGTGTGGACCGCCTGGACAACTCCAGTACGACACACACTGAAACATGGGTCCCTCATACAGTCACACACACATTAGAGACAGAGACACGTCCATAGCAGTCATCCTTTTAGTCAGATGCATAACACTCTACACTCAACCCAGAGACATGTCCATTCTGTCACACATGACATGCAAAGATGTCAGTAATTTCACGTCTCTTATTTGTACAGTCAAAAACAGTATGTTACATGCAACAGGACAATTCCATACCATTACGCTCACAGGAAGAATGCTGTTTTTGTCACTTATGTAAAGCTTTGTATATGTTTGTCTGTGCTTGTATGTATGTATGTATGTATGTACAGGCGCGTCCTCGGTTTTGCAGAGCCCTGACGGTAACTGGATCGCTCTGCAGAGCTCTCAGCACTCCCGTCCCAGCCTACTGACCAAGAGAAAGTCGCTGGTGTTCAGCGTCCTGGAGAAAGAGTCTGGCGTGGTCTCAGCCTATGACGAGATGGGCTCTGAATCCGATCAGGAGAATGACGAGGGGGGCTGGGGGACCGCGCTCCGCCAGTTTCGACGGAAACTCTCAGACGAGACGTACTACACGGACTCCCAACACGACCCGGAGTGGACGTACACCCCGGTCCACCTCTCGGTCACCTCGCCCTCCTCGGGCCAGTACACCAACACTGAGACCCTCAACTCGGACTCAGAGTCCACCTCGGTACCTTCCGCCCGCCCCCGCAAACCCCTCCAGAACTTGATGGGAAAAAAAGGCCCTAACTCGGACCCGCATCTTCATCCCCAGCAAGCTCAGTACCACCATCATCAACACCAGAACCTCCCTTCGTACCCGCTCCACCCGGAGGCGCTGGATGTGAACTTTAACCCCAAGTTGACGGGGGATAGTAGCGAGGCGGAGGACAGCAGGCAGAGCGACCAGGTCAGGAGGTCGCGGAGACGCAGGAAGAGCAAGAGGGAACCGGCGGGGAACCAGGCCCACACACAGCCCCTCTACGCACAATCTGTACAGGTGGGAGGACGACAGGAAGTTTAACTTGCCATGACTGTGATATGCGGTTGTCTTGCCTACCTTAGTTGAACGCTTTGACAGTAAGTCACTCTGGCTGACAGTCTCTGCTAAACCCCCCCCCCATGGGTTCACATTTTGTTTTTTTGCGCTAGCATTACACAGCTGATTCAAATAATCAAAGCTTGATGATGAGTTGGTTATTTGAATCAGCTGTGTAGTGCTAGGGCAAAAACCAAAACGTGCACCCAGGGGGGGAAACCCTGTGCTAAATTACTAAAATGTAAAGATAAGGAGCGTGTAGCAGCTACACCAATCTCGTTCTCATTTCTCATTTACAGTAGTAAATTGAGCTATACAGAGATTTTGGATTTATAATAATTTTTACTCCACCTCATTTTTGTTGTTACAAATGTCAGAAAAATGTTTAAAGTCATTGGTCAACCCTCATAAGACTATTGAGAAACATTACCTCACCACTATGTGGCAGAAAAGGACCAATATTTTTCATAAAGAAAGAAATTAACATTAGGGTCTCTCTCCCTATTGCTCTCTCTTTCTTTCTCTCGTTCTTTCTCTTTTCTCTCTCTCCTCTCTCTCTCACTCTCTCTCTCTCTCTCGCTCTCTTTCTCTCTCTCTCTCTCTCTCTCTCTCTCTCTCTCTCTCTCTCTTTCCTCTCTCTCTCTCCTCTCTCTCTTCTCTCGCTCTCTCTCGCTCTCTCTTTCTCTCTCGCTCTCTCTTTCTCTCTCCATCCTTAGGAGAACAGTTTCCTGCTGAATGCCCTGTTGAAGAGGGGCATGAGTGAGGAGATGGCCGCCCCTGATGTGGTGCCCATCCCTAAAACCTCCTCTGAGGTCATGACCCCCGAGCCCAAGGACCAGGACACTATGGCCCCTAACTCTGCGGCCCCCAACCCCCTTAACCCCATGGCCCCTGGCCCACTGTCCCCCAGCAGCACTGGGCCCGGCTCTGGAGACACACTGGAGCAGGAGCTCCGCTCCAAACTGAGCCAGCTGGTTGGACGAGCCGACAGCAAAGAAGTAGTGAGCTCGTCCGAGGACGAGCCAATCCAAAGTCCTGGAGGGAGAGACAGAGAAAGTGACAGACTGAAAGAGAAGTTGAGGCAGAATGAGAGAGAACGAGATCGGCAGAGACAGTGTGAGAGACCGAGAGACAGACCGAGCAGTAAAAGTCAGGATAGGACGAAGAGAGAGACAATCGAGTCAGTGAAAGGGCTGGAACTGAAAAAGAGAGAGCGACTAACGGAAAGGCCGACGTTAAGAGAGGAGGAGAGAGTGAAGGAGAGGAGGTTGGAGAGAGGAGGAAAGAGTTTGGAAGAGAAAGTAGATGACAGAGAAGAGAAGACAGTGGAGAAGAACAGGCAAAGTAAGAGACCACAGAGAAAAGAGGTGGACAGAAAGACCGAGAAAAAGGGGGAACAAGTGGAAGACCAAAAAGAAAAGATCAGATCCACGCCCACCTCACCTTCTATTTCCCCATCTGTCCAGGAGGGGGTGCTGTGTGACGGACAGGTGAGCAAAGAGAGGCGGAACAGGAACTCAATGTTTCATATTTCGCTTTAGCCATAGAGTTGGCTAGAGGGCCAAATCTAGGGATATGGATACCAGGATAGGGTTACTTGGCCCAAAGCCTGTTTTAGCATGGGTAAAGATAGGAGATGAGCTCTCGAGTACATCTATGGCTCTATGGCTTTAGCCTACCATCAATGTCCTGTTTGTCCTCACCTAAACACGGCAGGGGGGCTACCCTTAGTTATCTTTCAATCTGATCTTAAACTGTCTCTGTATCGTACTCCTCATTTCACTCCTTTATTTCCCCTCCCATTTCTTCTGTCTGTACCTTCTACTCATCCCTAATGTCTTTCTCCCTGCTCGCTTACCTCTTCTTACCTCTTCTCTCATCCATATTTTGCTGTGCCATCCATGTCCCACCTCTCTCCCTTTCTCCTGTCTGTCTCTCTGTCCGTCCGTCGGTCCGTCCATGCGTGTCTGTCTTGTCTGTCAGGAGGGACAGAATGGGTTGGAACTACAGCGGAGGCTATAGTTGCTCTCCTCTCTCTTACAGCAGGTGAAATCTACTGTCTCTATAACACAGGCCCCGGTCAGGACATCACACACACGGGCACACGTATGGGCACACACACATACACACATACACACACACACACACACACACACACACATAGACCTTCTATGCAACATGAGTCATGACTAAGTCCCAACCTTAACATTCACTTGATACACCAAAACTATGAAATTACTGTGATTGACGTACAGTCATGGTCAAAAGTTTTGAGAATGACACAAATATTAATTTTCACAAAGTCTGCTGCCTCAGTTTTTATGATGCCAATTTGCATATACTCCAGAATGTTATGAAGAGTGATCAGATCAATTGCAATTAATTGCAAAGTCCCTCTTTGCCATGAAAATGAACTTAATCCCCAAAAAACATTTCCACTGCATCTCAGCCCTGCCACAAAAGGACCAGCTGACATCATGTCAGTGATTATCTCGTTAACACAGGTGAGAGTGTTGACAAGCACAAGGCTGGAGATCACTCTGTCATGCTGATTGAGTTAGAATAACAGACTGGAAGCTTTAAAAGGAGGGTGGTGCTTGAAATCATTGTTCTTCCTCTGTTAACCATGGTTACCTGCAAGGAAACACGTGCCGTCATCATTGCTTTGCACAAAAAGGGCTTCACGGGCAAGGATATTGCTGCTAGTAAGATTGCACCTAAATCAACCATTTATCGGATCATCAAGAACTTCAAGGAGAGAGGTTCAATTGTTGTGAAGAAGGCTTCAGGGCGCCCAAGAAAGTCCAGCAAGCACCAGGACCGTCTCCTAAAGTTGATTCAGCTGCGGAATCGGGGCACCACCAGTGCAGAGGAATGGCAGCAGGCAGGTGTGAGTGCATCTGCACGCACAGTGAGGCGAAGACTTTTGGAGGATGGCCTGGTGTCAAGAAGGGCAGCGAGGAAGCCACTTCTCTCCAGGAAAAACATCAGGGACAGACTGATATTCTGCAAAAGGTACAGGGATTGTCTGCTGAGGACTGGGGTAAAGTAATTTTCTCTGATGAATCCCCTTTCCGATTGTTTGGGGCATCCGGAAAAAAGCTTGTCCGGAGAAGAGAAGGTGAGCGCTACCATCAGTCCTGTGTCATGCCAACAGTAAAGCATCCTGAGAACATTCATGTGTGGGGTTGCTTCTCAGCCAAGGGAGTGGGCTCACTCACAATTTTGCCTAAGAACACAGCCATGAATAAAGAATGGTACCAACACATCCTTCAAGAGCAACTTCTCCCAACCATCCAAGAACAGTTTGGTGACGAACAAGGCCTTTTCCAGCATGATGGAGCACCTTGCCATAAGGCAAAATGATAACTGAGTGGCTCGGGGAACAAAACATCGACATTTTGGGTCAAAGGCCAGGAAACTCCCCAGACCTTAATCCCATTGAGAACTTGTGGTCAATCCTCAAGAGGCGGGTGGACAAACAAAAACCCCACAAATTCTGACAAACTCCAAGCATTGATTATGCAAGAATGGGCTGCCATCAGTCAGGATGTGGCCCAGAAGTTAATTGACAGCATGCCAGGGCGGATTGCAGAGGTCTTGAAAAAGAAGGGTCAACACTGCAAATATTGACTCTTTGCATAAACTTAATGTAATTGTCAATAAAAGCCTTTGACACTTATGGAATGCTTGTAATTATACTTCAGTATACCATAGTAACATCTGACAAAAATATCTAAAAACACTGAAGCAGCAAACTTTGTGAAGACCAATACTTGTGTCATTCTCAAATCTTTTGACCATGACTGTAGACCGCACACACTAACACACACTCAGGCACACATGCATCTATCTGATGATTCCTCCTTTTACAATGCTTTCTCAGACACCCTGTCACAAGTAAGGCATGATCAAGTGAGACATGCTTGTTTTGTCAAGGACCATAATGGTATTAGTCACTCTCTCTCTCTCTCTGCTCTACTTCAGTTGTTTGTGTCCCAAATAGCGCCCTATTCCTTCTATAGTACACTACTTTTGACCAGTGCATGTAGTGTGTAGGATAGCATTTGTGATGCCGATTTGTTCTTATCGAGATGTGTCCTATTTTAGGAATAGATAGGGAGTGAAAGAGGGAGTGAAAAGCTGATGGTGCTGAATTCAATTTAGACATATGAAGCCGATTGCATTAGCTAATATACTTGTTTCATTTATAGTGCTTTTCTCTTTTATTCTTCTTTCAATACATTTTAGGCATTTGGAAAGGGCAGAGGCTGGGGTATGAATGGCAGACTTACATAAAAGGTGTGAAACTAGTAGAAATACTTGAAAGGACTAATAAGTAGTTATTTTGGTATCTGTACTTTACTATTTATATTTTTGACAAGTTTTACTTTTACTCCACTACATTTCTAAAGAAAATACTTTACCTGACACCCAAAAGTACTCGTTACATTTCGAATGCTCAGGCAGGACAGCAATATGGTCCAATTCATGCACCTACCAATATCACGCGTTGTCATCCCTACTGTCTCTGATCTGGCGGACTCACTAAACACAAATACTGCGTTTGTAATGTCTTGTAAAGTCTTGGAGTGTGCCCCTGTCTGTCCGTAAAGGTACAAAAACAAGAAAATCGTGCCGTCTGGTTTGCTTAATATAAGGAATTTGATGTATAACATTTACTTTCATTTGTTACTTTTACTCAAGTATAAATATGGATGGATTGATATACCATGATATCCCACACACCCACACACTACTAAAAGGCTTCTCTGGAATGGGGTGCTAATCTGGGTAAAGTCCCTTTTTATTCCAAAAGAGGAAAAGTGACAACATCTTCTCCCACAAAATAATGACCACAACAACAACGTTTTCAATTCATGGTGCTCTTGTTTCTATTTTTTAAAAGGTGATGTATTAATTTTTTTATAAATAAGAGCACCATGAATTGAAAACGTTGCTGTTGCGGCCATTTGTGGAAGATGCTGTCGCCGTCCCTCTTTTGGAATATTAAAGACACTGTAAAGTAAATTTGCATAGCTCTCCACTTGTTTGAGATATGACTAAGTATCAAAAGGATAGATCTGCAGCATGTTCATATCACCCAAGTGTAGCACATGGTGATATGTGAAACGTACTCCTCAGCCGTAAGTGTCCCGCTTGCGTCGCCTCATTATCTAGCTTTTGAGGTGGCTCAATCGGCTAAGACGCTTGAGGGAGGGCGGTCACTTGTGTTTGTGAGGCAGAGATCCCGAGTTCGAGCCAGGTATGGGCCGAATCGGAAGGAAGTGGTACTCGCAAAGCAAGCAGCGTTGATGTCCTTTACACAAGCACACACTGCATGGTATCTCAGGAATACTAGTGTGGATGCACTTTCTAAAGTGCTTTCTAAACACAAATGTCACAGTAGGAAATTAGGCATGTGTTGGGAGTGATAATGATGTCTCTTTGTAAAGGAGGTGATGGCCAAAACTCTCACTCCGGCTCCCATTCTCCATCGACCTACTTAGTCAGTACCGGAACTCTTTGCTCTCTATGTCACCGCTGAGTGTTGAAAAGGAGCCGTCTCTCATCTCGTCTCATCTCAGACTCGAGTGCCACCCACTAACACCCCCTAACACCCACACTGTACACTTCCTTTCAGAGCCCACGCAGGTCACTAGCTAACTAACATGTCTTAGAGAGAGAGAGAGAGAGAGAGCAAAAGCGGGTGGATCAATGCACTCATTAGTCCCACAGATCAAAGCTTCAAGCCAATGATTAACTCAATATTGAATTACATCTATCTCTCTCCTTCTCCCTCTCCCCTCTCTCCTTCTCATCTGTTCAGATGTACTGTTCTTGTTTGTACTTTACAGTTGGAGTGTGGTTTGTTATGTCGTATAGGTTCCAGCCGGGACTGCACTTTCATTTACCATACAGTGCATTCGGAAAGTATTTAAACCCCTTGACTTTTTTACACATTTTGTTATGTTACAGCCTTATTCTAAAATTGATTAAATACTTTTTTTCCTTCATTAATCTACACACAATATCCCATAATGACAAAGAAAAAACAGGTTTTTAGAAATTAAAATTAAAATAAAAAATGGAAAATTCACATTTACATAAGTATTCAGACCCTTTACTCAGTACTCTGTTGAAGCACCTTTGGCAGCGATTACAGCCTCAAGTCTTCTTGGGTATGACGCTACAAGCTTGGCACACCTGTATTTGGGGAGTTTCTCCCATTCTTCTCTGCAGATCCTCTCAAGCTCTGTCAGGTTGGATGTGGGGCGTCGCTGCACAGCTATTTTCAGGTCTCTCCAGAGATGTTCAATCGGGTTCAAGTCTGGGCTCTGGCTGGGCCACTCAAGGACGAAGCCACTCCTGCGTTGTCTTGGCTGTGTGCTTAGGTTCGTTGTCCTGTTGGAAGGTGAACTTTCGCCCCAGTCTGAGGTCCTGAGCGCTCTGGAGCAGGTTTTCATCTCTCTGTACTTTTCTCCATTCATCTTTCCCTCAATCCTGACTAGTCTCCCAGTCCCTGCCGCTGAAAAACATCCTCACAGCATGATGCTGCCACCACCATGCTTCACCGTAGGGATGGTGCCAGGTTTCCTCCAGACGTGACGCTTGGCATTCAGGCCAAAGAGTTCAATCTTGGTTTCATCAGATCAGAGAATCTTGTTTCTCATGGTCTCAGTCTTTAGATGCCTTTTGGCAAACTCCAAGTGGGCTGTCATGTGCCTTTTACTGAGGAGTGGCTTCTGTCTGGACACACCTACCATAAAGGCCTGATTGGTGGTGCAGAGATGGTTGTCTTTCTGGAAGGTTCTCCCATCTCTACAGAGGAACTCTGGAGCTCTGTCAGAGTGACCATCGGGTTCTTGAATTTACCACAGGTGGACTCCAATCAAGTTGTAGAAACATCTCAAGGATGATCAATGGGAACAGGATGCACCTGAGCTTAATTTCAAGTCTCATAGCAAAGGGTCTGAATACTTATGTAAATAAGGTATTTCTGTTTTTTATTTTGAATACATTTGCAAAAATGTCTAAAAACCTGTTTTCGCTTTGTCATTATGGGGTACTGTGTGTAGATTGAGGAACATTTGTTGTTTAATCCATTTTAGAATAAGTCAAGGGCTCTGAATACCTTCCGAATGCACTGTATGTTAGGTCCACTGTCACCCTTACATGACCTCTATAACTTAAACCTATTCAATAATGGAATCTACTAATAGAAAAGGTCAACAGCTCTCCTCCTCTTCTACCTGAAGCCTCACCCTGTTTTCCTCCACCTGATCGCTCCTTGCAGGTCGAGCGTGAGTCGTGATGATGTGTGTGTGTTGATTGGAGGTGTATAAGCGCTGTGTGTCAATGACTGACTTCCTGTAAACATCTCACTCGGACCCTTCTACGACTCTTCTCTTCACTGTTTCATGTTTTTACTCACTAATCATCTTTGTGCCTATGTGTGCCTGACTTGTATCTCTGTGTGTGTTTGTATGTGGTGTCTCTCTCTCTGTGTGTGTGTGTGTGTCTTGACGTGTGTGTGTGTGTTGAACAGAAGTACTCGGCTGCATCTCTGTGCAGTATCACCACAGAGGTCCTGAAGGTGCTCAACGCCACCGAGGAGCTGATTGGTGAGGCGGGGGGCGATAGCGTCACCCCCTCAGAGTGCATGAGCGCGTCTGAATCCTTCTCCAGCTGCTTAGAGACCAGGAAGCTGGACCAGAAACTCACCAAGATGGAGGAAAACGTGAGACCCACAGCCTACATACATCTGAATGTTGGCGGTTGTCACTATCTGGTCATGCTAGAAAGGACCAAAGTGCAGCGCTTTCTAAACCCTAAACTGAATCCTTACCATAACCTCAACCATAACCCTAGATCAAGAGAATAAATAACCAATGTGTACTTGCGCATCTGAAGTCACTATCTGAGCCACTTTTGTCCATCCTAGCATGACCATATAGTGACTAACACCTGTATTATTTAATTTAATGTAGAGGCTAAACAAGACAGGCCCTAGGATAGAGCCCTGTGGGATCCCAACGTTGTTATGCGCCGTACCTGTGCCCATTGAGCTCTCCTGTAACATGTGACTTATCCCTGCAGGTGTACCTGGCTGCGGGGGTGGTGTACGGCCTAGAGGGGGCACTGGGGGACCTGGAGGAGGTGGCCCGGGGCATCAGCAGTGGCACCTCAGACAGAGAGCTGGCCTTCCTGGAGGACCAGGTGGCCACTGCCGCCACCCAGGTGCAGCAGTCTGAGCTCCAGGTAGGGGGTCCATTCATATCCAAACGCCCAGTTGTTTCAATGGCTGTGTTCCATGCTGATTACATTTCAGATGCATGTCAGATTTCACAACGCCTGTATAGGTGTTTGACATATGAGCCAACCACATCTTCTTTTGTTATATATATGTTTAAGGTATTTTCGGACTTTATTGAGCAAAGAGAGAGGATGACTGTGGGGAAAGATCGTTTGTGTCAAAGGGAAGTAGGTTGGCATGTGTCCCGGAGGCTGCGCCTTAGACTGCTAGACCACCCTAGGCTACCAACCACATGTTATGATATAGCAATTTGATGCCCAACTGCAATGTGGTCGGCCTGGAACGCGACCAATGTCTGATGGTCCTGTTAGAATGCAGGCTTAAATGGGGAGACTGGAGAGAATGTGTAGGATATGTAATTGTATTCCACTGGTGTTTTCTAAATTGTCCTTCAGGAGCAAAGTTAATTAAAATGATCTGTTAACCTGAGCTTTGCTCTACATGTACAGCAAATATAGTTTTACTTCAGGTCTGATATCCTTTTTCTGAATCATTTTTCATCATCCCCCTCCAGATATCAGACATCGAGGTGAGGATATTATCTTTAAAAACAGCTGGACTGAACGTCACCGCCTGCAATCGTTTCTCCAAATTCCCCACGCCAAAACCTAAGGTAGTATTCTTCCACCGTACTATAATTACACACAAACACAGCCTAATGGCCACTGTATTCACCGCACTCATCTGCTGTTTCTCTGTAGCCTCAAACCCTCGACACATCACGCCAACAGAGGAGAAAGCTACCTGCCCCTCCAGTCAAAGGTAACGGACTTGTTGAAATGATCAGAAAGAAAACCTGGTTTGAAAACTTTTTTTGTTGTTGTTCTATTTAATCTATTGACACCTCCATTTCCCTTTTCTACTTTTGTTTAATTAAGTTTATAGGGTTGACTCCCCTTGTTGATTGAAAAAGTACCAGGGCGAAAAATGATCCAAACGTTGTCACTTCATAAAATCTCAAATCTTTCAGACTGTGAAATGTCACACTGTCTCAAGGAGCAAGTTTTGCCTTTCAGCAGTCGTAAAACACACACACACCCTCTTAATGCGCTGATGTGCGTTTTACATCGATCGTGGCTCACATCGCTGTGGCAACACAATGTTGTCTGCTCCACATAATAACACACCCTTTTTCATGTGTGGACGTTGGATTGGAGAAGAAAAAAAAACATGTATTCACACTTAGAAGGCTAACATCACACATTTGGATCTAAAGGAAGAGATTTAATGGACGGGAGACTAAAGGCACCAGCTAGAGAAGGAAGAAAGAGAAAGGTTCCATTAGGAAAGAGAGAAGGAGCACAGAGAATAAGAGACGAATCGGACGGCTGCGTCATCAACCGATGGGGACACACTCCTTTTCATGTTAATTAATTATTAATGGGGGTTTTCTTTATGTTTGGCACCATCACCGTATCAGTGATTCACTCTGTTTTTAGTTTTAGTCTCAAAGAAAAGCACAACACATCAGAGGCAAAATCAAAGAAGAACTCTCATATTGTCATACAGCATTGATTTCAGAAAGGGATCGTCATTAGATTAGCATTTTGTAATTATTATTTCAGTAAAGGACTCATGTTTTACTGTTACTTGCTCTGTCTGGGGAACTTCTGTATGGCCAATTCTGATTAAATATGACCAAATACACTGAGTGTACAAAACATTAAGGACACCTGCTCTTTCCATGACATAGACTGACCAGGTGAATCCAGGTGAAAGCTATGATCCCTTATTGATGTCACTTGTTAAATCCACTTCAATCAGTGTAGATGAAGGGGAGGAGACAGGTTTTCAAGGATTTTCAAGCCTTGAGTCAATTGAGACATGGATTGTGTATGTGTGACATTCAGAGGGTGAATGGGCAAGAAAAAATATTTAAATGCCTTTGAATGGGGTATGGTAGTAGGTGCCAGGCGCACCGGTTTGTGTCAAGAACTGCAACGCTGCTGTGTTTTTCACACTCAACAGTTTCCTGTGTTTATCAAGAATGTTCCACCACCCAAAGGACATCCAGCCAACTTGACACAACTGTGGGAAGCATTGGAGTCAACATGGGCCAGCATCCCTGTGGATCGCTTTCGACACCTTGTAGAGTCCAGGTGCCGACGGATTGAGGCTGTTCTGAGGCCAAAAGGGGGGGGGGGGGGAGTGCAACGCAATATCGGAAAGGTGTTCTTATTGTTTTGTCATTCAGTGTATATGCAATGTAAACTACAGTTACCGTTATACTGTGTAATAGCTTCATTTCTCATTTTGACAACTCTCCTTAGCTACCCCAATAGCTTAATTATATGTTTATATGTATATCCTGGTCTTCTTCCAGATAAGGAGTCTGAGCAGCAGGTGAGAGCACTTCAGCCGTAGTGACAGACAGACAGCACAAAAAGTCCCTCAAGGGCCCCGCAGGACCCGTGGACCCACGTGGGGCCTCTCAACTCCAGTGCCTTGATCCAGCGTCCGCCTCGGGCTACGCAGGGGCTAACACCTGCCCTGTGCACCCCACCCAGCACTCTCCTCAGCCAGGCACGGCCCCATCCTGTCACCCCCCTAAAAACGACCCCTTACCCTGCCTCCCCAGCCCAGGATTGACCCAACTCCTGTCCCATCCTACTCCATCCGCCCCCCTGGGCCTCACTCATTGTAACCACGACGCCACATCCTGGTGGGTTGATAGACGGCCTGTCTCTGCCTTAAAATCAGCATACGAACACTCCTCACCGAGACAACTCACTGTCCTACTGTCAAAAGAAAACGTAACTTCAAAGTCGTTGTAGTACAGAAAATAAAAAACCACTGTCAGTCTTTTTTCTAACTGTTTGCAAGAGTATTGTAGGTGTTTGAACTAACGTACAATGAAGATGTGAAAAAACATGTGAAAACTTCTGTGGTACATGTCCCTAAAGAGGCTCAACTACTACTGTTTTCATTTTGCTCATCGATGAAATGTCATGAATTGCAGAGCACCTGCAGAACCTGTTCAATGTTGTCATTTTATTATTATTTCTGTGTAAAGACTCAGAAGTAATAATTTCCTTGAAACTAGAAAATAACAATCCTCATTCACTAAGATATGGTCTGATGTTTTTCAGATTTTAGAGAAGAGGGTTACTTGAAAAAACATCTGGTGTCCTCTCCTGTTCCTTAAGAATTGACATTAAGATAACAAGTGAACACACCTCAACCTTTTGAAGGAGGTGATTTTGTGATTACCTAATTACTCTTGTGCTAAGTTACCATATTTTGAGAAAGTTTTGCTATATTGCTAGTAATGTAATGCAACATTTACATTGAATTGCATTTACAAATAATGAAGCATTTATCACACAAATAGGCTACCTATCTGTAAAACATTTATGAACCCAAAGAATCCATGAATTGACGAAATGAACACGTGTTTCTTACCAAACAAAAGCACCCGTCTATGAAATTGTCACCATTCTAAGTCATTAGTTGTTGTTATTTTTATGTTTAATTTGTTTCAGCTTTGTGGCCTTTATTTGGCATAGATCCTGATTTCTCTCCTGTGCTGTATGGCTCCAGTAATGAGTTGTACATTGTGTTAAATATCTTGTAAAGATTTATGCATAATGAAGTCTACTGGGCTGTATGACAAAATGCCATGAAGACCATGATGTTATTACAAGCAATTCAATTTTTGACTTTTCAAGGTTGTTATTATTTTCCCTAGAACAAAGTGGGCGGAAAATGGTGTAGGTTGTATTCTCCCCCTCTGAAAGATGTTCTCATCAGTTATGTCTGAAAGCGTGTCATGTTTCCTCCTTCAAAGTGCTTTACATGTATGGCTGCATTAATTGTCTAGAAATTTGTGATTTTAAAGGTGATAATGGTATTCATATTCATGATAAAATGGGAGATGCTTTAAATAGCAGTTGATGCAGTGTGTGGCATTACGCCAAAGACCAGGGTGAGAGTCTTGAGGGCTAGGCCTGTTTTTATCAAGCATCTCATTGAAGGATCAGGTCTTCCCTGTCCATGTAACTGTATTCATTGTGATCTACAACGAAAAACTGATCAGAGATCAGCACTTCTATTCTGAGGTGCTTATAAATACAGGCCCTGCTCTTTATAATGAGTAAGTCAGATAGTATTAATAAAGAGGATATGAAATACAAGGCTTAGTAGGATTCTGTTCCTATCTACTGCTCGGTAATTACAGGTAAAATAGCATGACGTTTGCTCTGGTCCGTGGTGTTATGTACGGCCTGAGCCTTTTTCAAGCCGCACATAACGCCCTGGACCAGAACTAGTATAAAGTGTCATCTAGTTGTCCTTTGATAACATGGGTTATTCCCATACATATGGACTGCTGGCACTTGTATTGGATTCAATTAGATTCTATTGGATTCAATTAGATTCTATTGGATTCAATTGGATTCAATTGATTCAATTGATTCAATTAGATTCAATTAGATTCTGTTGGATTCAATTAGATTCTATTTGAACACTGTCCACTGGTGAGTCCATCTATTCATCCCATGATCACATTTTGCAGGTTTTGCAGATCGTTCCTGTATGTTGTCGTTGTTCCTGGAAGTGTGTTGTTGTGTGTGTCTAAACGCATGTTAAATAGATGTACAAAATTCTCATGAGAAGCACAGCCACGGGGTTCATTATTATCAATGTCCTGTATTTTTCTATTGTAAAAAAAAATATTTGATCTCACCTCAGAATTTGTTTATGTATATATGTAAAAAATGGATATGACTTATAAGATATAATTGCCCAATCATAAACTTGATCCTTCTGTGTTGTCTGTGAGAGACTGTGCAACCTAGCTGCCATCACGACTGAATGACTGTAGTGGAGTTCACTACGCACAGCTCTGATGGACTATTCACTCATTTGTGCAATCGTTTGTTGCAATCCATATCGTGTGTTGGGGAAAAATATTAAGAAGCAAAAAATAGATTCTCTGTGCCAAATTGCTCTGAATGAGAAAAAGTGTAATACTAAATGAATAAAAGTTTGCATACCTGAATAACCTCTGGAGTTTCCTGTCATTCCTAACTTAATAACGTATTATCTTATGTTACAAAGAAAATCCCTTTATCAGCAATATAAATACCTCATGGTAAAAAAAAGAAACCCCCGCTAATTCACAGAAAGATTCATATCGGAATTTGAGCATCTTTATATTTCTCTTGATATACTTCCTGCTTTTCATTAAACAATAACTGGTAACATCACCAATCTACCAAAAACATAGTTAGAGACATCTTCATTTATTCATCAATATAGATTGCATTTCTCTGTATGTACAGAATACAACAGATTTTTTTGGTCAGCCAGTTTAGAGGTCCCTTCGAGTAAGACAGGCTTGAGAGCAAACCTTGAGAAGAAGAAAGACACAGGAAGGAAGGAAGAAAGAAAAGGAGACAGAGACAGAGAAAGGGACAATCCTTGACTAAATAAAAAAAGACACGTTCACAGACACAGACGGTGGGTGGCGAGCGGCCAGGTGGGCATGTTGTCACGGTAACCAGTCGGCGTCCTCCCCTCCCAGCGTCTTCCCGAGGCTCTCCTGGTTCCTGATGGTGTTGAGGAGAAGCTCCAGAGTGTTTGCCACAGATCCAGGGTATCTGAGCCCACCGCTGCCCCCTCCTCTGCTCTGCCTCTTCCCAAAGCGCCCGATGGGCCTCACCCCACGCCCCACGTACCACAATGGATCTATCTCTGGACCTGACAAAGACAAGACGCGGGATGAGTGGAAGCATCAAGTTAAGGTTTGAATATATATATATATATATATATATATATATATATATATATACACACATATAAGCATGTGCTCACAATCACAGACAGACACACAGACACACACACTCAAATGCTCTTACAAGCACACACAAATGCCTGTCCACAAAGTAGCCTACACAGTTGTACCGTTATGCATAAACAGTATGTAACATTTGATAGTCACACCTAATAACCCCTCATATTGCTGTTCCAGAACTAGTAATAATGTTCTAAAGGACACAATGTTTTGGTATGAACAATAACGTGGTATTAATTATATAATATGATATGCCATTTAGCAGACACTTTTATCCAAAGCGACTTACAGTCATGTGTGCATACATTTTTACGTATGGATGGTCCCGGGGATCAAACCCACTACCCTGGCATTACAAGCGCCATGCTCTACCAATTCAGCTACAGAGGACCAACTATAACATGGTGTGAACAATAACATGTATAAACAATAAGGTGGTATGATCAATAACCAGGTACGGACAATACCATTTCTTGGTAGGGTAATAACCTGGTTTGAACAATAACCTGGTATGAACAATACCATTTTCTTGTTAGGCTATTGGTATGAACAATAACCTGCTATGAACAATACCATTTAGGTTATGAACAATAATCTGAAAGTGGATGTCACCTTTTCATCAGGCAGTGGATGTCCATTTACTGGATTTTTCTGAGCAGTTTTTAGGCAACACTTTACATTAAATTATTCTATGAAGGCTTTAAGGTTTATAAAACAGTTACATTGTGGTTATTTAATTTATAAATACCATATCAATAATTAAATCCATAAGTCTGTTAAAAACCTTATAGATAATATTATGATATTACATTTATTTTTTTAGAATCATTGTAAATCATATCACATTATCAGTAGTGTGTTACCCATTCAAAATGATTTGTTTATTATGATTGTATTAGTTTATTAACACATTTTACCAAACCCTTTATAAACCATTTGTAATAGGTTTGAAATCTGAAATATTATTTATATTAATGAACATAAAATTATATTTTTGTATGAAAGAAAATGTGCAATCCATGTGTAATATCCATGCTGTCACCAAAGTCACCTTTCAAGATCAAAAGCCTATAGGAGACAAATCATTCACTTTATTCGATAATAAAACGAGTGTCAACTTACTTCTGTTGTCGACATTGTGGACGATGTGAAAGTCGTGCTCCACTGTGGTACTGTGTACGCAGGTGACCGTCGTGGACAGCAGCAGCAGCACCGTGAGCGCAGCCGTCAGCCAGCGCTTCCCCAGGACGCACTCTCTCACGGTCACCGGGCACACCACTCTAGTCTCAGGAATCATTGTAGATGGACGGCAAGGCACTGCACGTGGACCGTTTTGTTTTAAAATGACATAAAAGTAAAGAGAAATGGTTGAACCCGACTTGAGACTTGTATCAATGTAGTCTGGTCCTATCTTTCAATTAGCGTATTTTGCGCGTAATTGCGCACGATTGCGTAATCTTAGAAAATACAGATAGGCCTACCAATTAATGATCTACTCTGAAACAAGGTTACCTAATAACTGAATAAATAAGTTATAATCCTAAATATATGGTCACCTTTTATATATAAAAGTCTAGCGGTTTGTGAACGGCACACAACTAGCTTCAACTTACCGTAAACTTTTGTAGCTTGTAGAGGTGGGTCGGTGGAAGGTTTCCTTCTGCCAGGTTCTTCATTGGCGGGAAGGGTGTGAGCGCGAGTTTATATATTCCGGACTGCCCATGTTAGATGATGAATCAAGAACGTCACATAGGATACTCCGGTGGATAAAGTCACCCCACCACTTCCACCCCATCCACTCCTTCTTGCCTCTTCTTTCCTTTAAGAATACACATTTAATTTAATGGGGCTTTTGGGTTGGAATTTTCTTCGCCCATGGCACGCCGCGGTGCACTCCATCAGGTAGTCAATGACATGTGGACAACATTAACTTAGTAGACTGCCCGCGTTGGAGACCTTCACTTCAAGTACAAGACAGTGGCCCAGAGCTGTGGAGGTGGGTATGCCTCAATCATCTTGATTAGTATTGACAAGTCCTACTGTTGTCATAGCACCAACCAGATAGTGGAAAACTGATCAATGAGTATCATTTTCAGTGAATGAACTTGTGTATGTCTAATAAAATTCCCTCATATTGTAATTAATTATAGGTAACTGAAATCTGGAGCACTGGACAGTTACTTCAATGCAACATGGTAAATGGTTATAGCCTATCATAGGCCTACATTCTTTGGTGATGTGCATGATTCACATACTGCACATTAACAAATTGATGAATGCAAAACGTGAGTGGTCGACAAAGTGATATTCTCTTGAGTGTGGTGTCAATGAGTTTGCAAAGGTCCAAACATAGTGTGACATGATGACACAAGGTGGTGACAAAGGCACAGCTAGGTGAGATAGATGAGTCACGGGTGGCAGTCCGGTTGAGGAGATGTTCACAGTAAAACTGAAATGTCAAAAAGGTGATGGTAGTTTTGGCCTCAGGCCCATGACTAGGTCCAGTGAGAGGATATGTCTAAATACAGATTATATTTTTTAAAAAGAGACACACCTGGTCACTCCTTGATTCAATATTATTGGTGCAGTTTGTAAGAATAAATCAGTCCCCCCAAAAAAACTGTAAAAAAAACTGTCAGAATTCATAAGCACATAATTGAGACGGTGGCATTATCTATCATTCTAAGCTCTTAATTCAAAGCTCTTGTTAGATATTGTGGTACTTCATTGGCCTGTTTAGTATGGGTGATGCACTGTTCACTTGGGGGGAAAGCAGTTTGGTTCTCCTCCATAGATTAGGACAGCCATTATTGCCCTGTTGAAGGGGATCAGATGCTATGATGTAAGTAAGAGCTCACCCAACAAGAGAGGATGGCTGTGATAATGACCAATTTGCTACCCGAGGATGTGTAATCGTGGCTCGGATTTGGCGCCGGAGACAAGATAGAGGCTTAATGCTTGAAGATGCATATTGCATGTTATTGATTTCTGACGAGGAGCTCTCATTTGCAACAGGACAAATATGAGACGCTTCCAGCAGATGCTCAACCACTATCACATTTTGCCCAAGGTTCGAGCAACTGTGTAGTCATGTCCAAAATGTATTTGAACTGCTACTAATAATTCATATTTTTTTCTATGTCCAAAAACATCAACCACACAAACAACTCAAAAGAACATATGCACATAATATGATGACACATGTTGTGCCCCATAGATTATGTTGTGCCCCTTAAAATGTGTGTGCTTGGTATAAAAACATTAGACCAGATGGATATTGAGGTTGATCCCTGATCATCCAACGCCACTGGCCTCCTCCTCTCCCAATCTGGGCTAAAGACGTCATAGGCCTTTCTCAACGTTTGGTGAAATCCTCAAAATCTTGCGTCGGCGAGTTCTACCACACACTCATTGCACATGAATGAAGTCAGAACGTCACATAGCAGTCTCGTTAACCTATGCTGTGTGTCTGACAACGCTATAAGAGAGGCTACAGCTGTGGAAGGAGAGTGAAAATGATACGCTATTCCCTTTGTAGTGCACTACTTTTGACCAGAGCCCATGGGGGACTCTTTGCCCATTAGTGTCATCTCAACAAGTATGAGGTGAACATGAACATGCTATTGGCTCCCTCCATCTACATGTCTGTATGTGCAGTAAGACAGAGAAGGAGAGACATACAAATCCAGGTTAACACTCATCTTGTCATTTTCAAGATCAGTGATCAGAACGTCCACGCCAAGAAATCATCTAAGGAATCTAAAGCTGTTGTTGAATTCCACTATTACGGTGTGAGGCAGGCTGTCCTAATATGGACACCGTACAATTCAGGAATTTCTTCATTGACTGAGGAAACCTTGCTTGCAGGATGATTAACAGTGTTGACCGTTGGTGTTTTTGTTAATGAGACTGGTCATAAATCGCGGCCTACACAGAGAGTGGGCAGAGGTCCACCATTGATCTTCTCTGGTTTCCCCAGTCTAGAATGGCAGCTTTCCTGCAGTCAGTTCAATTACCAATGATCTGCTGCTAACTGAAGTAGGTGTTGTTTGTTAAGTGGGGGTGCTGGTGGGTGAGATTGAACAGGATATTAAAAGGTATGGAAACAGCACTAGAGTGTATGGTCTGGTGTGATTGAAAACATAAAGAAACTGCTCCTTGCTTGAAAGTCATGCTGCTAAGGCCGGGATTCAATCCGATCAGCCGTAGATCTGCGTAACAGCACACTTGACATTTAAAGGTAATTTCGGTTTGAGCTGACATTTGCACCATTTACCGTGAATATGGTCTACAAAATGCAGGAAAATCGCATTTAAAATGTTAATAACCTAAAAGGGCCGATTGGATCGAATCCGGGCCTAAGTCCTCCTGGGATGGTGGCTGGGATAGTGCATGCAGGGTGGGAATTAAGGGGTGCAATGCTCCCATGTTCACAGAGTCTGCATTCCCCGTAAATGCTGCATATGTTGGCTCAATCAGAACTTACCTTTAAATTGTGTGTTTTCGACAATGCGCGATCGAATTGAATCCCGGACTAAATACACAAAAATAGCTGAGAGATTACAGTTGTGCACATTTGTGTGTCATATCTGTAGGTTAAATCAGGAAAATGGCAAACATACAGTTTATTGACATATTAAAACTATTACAAATATAAAGATGGCTCGAACACCACAGCACCATGTAGTATTATTAATATCCTTTAGAAATAAATATAAATACCTGCATAGATAAACTGCAGCATCAGTGTGCAGGTATCAATCTTTATTTCAGTGAGTTTATTATTTGTACCCAGTACCTGCAAGTTATTGGATGTGCGAACACTACGTTTGAGACTAGCTTTAATAATCAGGGCCTGTTCTAGGATGATACGTATTTTTCATTGTTTCAAAGCTTGCTTACTGCAATTTTAATCGTTTAACATGACTCAGACATAATCAATTGTTAGGGCAACATTATATTTTGGGGTGAGCAACCCTGCAGCCCCCTAGAGCTGGCGTTGGTATTATTTTCAGTCTGAATTTGACCAGGAACCTTATGTTTCATGGGCACAATGTAATAACTGTAGGGGTCAACTAGTCTAGAACTACTCAAAAAAAGATCAATAAAAGATTGTTTTTTTAAATGACAAAAAAGTGGGTAGTGTAATTAGCTTGCTTGATGGATGAAAATAATGTTGGAAATGAGATCAGTCTGAACAGGTACTGAGAGTGTACCTGCTTTTACAAGGATTATGCATTGATGTACCACTTGATATTCGTTGCAGGGCCGAGGCAGAGAACAGAGTAGCAGTGGGTGCCCCTTCCCTTTGAAAACAACAATATCTATGGATATTTTTCTCTAGTGCATCAGTGGCCCAGTGGCCTAATGGATAAGGCATCAGCCTCCGGAGCTGGGGATTGTGGGTTCAAGTCCCACCTGGGTCTATTGGAATCAGCTTGTTTTTCATTAAGTAGCACAGAACACCACTGTGCATCAGGGCAATGGACATACATGAGTTCACTACTGTGTTACAGAGTGGTTCTCACTAAGATCCCCATCCCTTGCCTGCTCACATTAATTTAAATGCATGTTGGTAGCTTTAATCACTATCAGTACTAAATTCCCAATTGCCTGAGGCATTTGTAAATAGTGAATTCCAAATGAATGAGGCATTCGTGAATAGTAGGAGAAAACGGTGCTAGAAAAGTGACATTTGGAACCCCTTTCCCAGATCATGACTAGACTGCCAGCCCTGTACTTCACAAAACAATCCACATTTTATTGTCTAAGTAAATGAAGAGCACGTCAAACTGTGGTAAATCAACGCTTTATTAGCATACATTCTTAAAAAAACATGTTCATAGTATTCCAATGACTAGTAGATCTAGACAATCAGTGCTGTGTGCGAGTCAGGACTCCTTTTGTTGTAAAATGTATTGAGACAAAGTGAAACTACACTTTTTAATAAATGTTGATTTGAATGTTGATTCATATTTGTGTGATGATAACAGTAGAATAGGTTTTGTATTTGTATTTATTGTGGATCCCCATTAGCTGCTTCCAAGGCAGCAGCTACTCTTCCTGAGGTCCAGCAAAATGAAGGTAGTTATACAATTTTAAAAACATTACAATACATTCACAACACACTGTCTGCCCTCAGGCCCCTACTCCACCACTACCACATATCTACAATACAAAATCCATGTGTATGTGTGTGTATAGTGCGCATGTTATCGTGTGTGTGTATGCATGTGTCTGTGCCTATGTTTGTGTTTCTTCACAGTCCCTGCTGTTTCATAAGGTGTATTTTTCTTT